AGTGGGCTATATCCATGCTGTGGCTTGGTGTGGTGTACATCGTGAATGGACTGGTATAGTCAGCTTCACTGAAAATGGTAAAAGTTACTAAAGAAATGAGTACGGATAGTTTTTATTGCGGAGAAAAAGCAAAGCACTTGTTTGGTTAACAATGCAGAACTTGCACGAAAAAAAAATATATTGGACTGGACTCGACTCCTGACTTTCAGGCTGTGAAACGTTTTGGGCTTGCCTAGAGGACTAATTGATCAATGATTCTTTTCCATAGAGGAGTTTTTGGAAAGAAAACTTTCAACGCAATAGAAGAGAAAATCATTACGTATTATTTTCTTACTTGTCCACCTATGGTGAAATGAACGTTCGCTGTTACGTAATCCTGCTTTATAATAATTCATTTCAAATTAACATACCTCTTAAGAACTACACACACTGTGATTGGTCAATATAAAGGCTGTATTCTACTGTTCGGCTCGCTAAAATTTGAAGCCTTCCGCGATCCCGTCAAACACACGGGGAGATAGAAGAGAGAAACAAACAAACAAACAAAAAAACACTTTTCCCATAACCCAAAGAGCCTCTGTATATGAGACGCGAACCTGGACTGCTCAATCCGAGAGCCAAAACAAATTAACTGTTAAACCTCTATAGACAGGAACGAAATTTGTTTTACGTTCATTAATTGATATTTGAACAGAAAAAGAAAATGCACACAAGTTAGTTCTCGATGCGAGTTTTACACCTCACTGAAACTCAGGAAAAATTGATACGTTCATATCACGTTGTGCTATAATCGCAAAGGAACTCAGACGTCAAAAAATATAGGGATAGTTATCTTAAAGTAAATATTTCTTATGATATAAAGCCAAGTAGCTATTTAACTTTCTTTACAGTTCACACCCTCATAAACACGAGCGAAGTCCCAGGGGAAGTCGCCTTTAGACCCAAGGATCGCAAAAGCCAACCCTTAACTACGCCGGCCGTAGCACGAAGAGACATAACAGAAAACTGGGCCATGACTGGGTAAGATCGAGATGGCTAAAGCAAAGACAGCATGTTTCCTTAAGATTCATTGACGACGTTACAACTACAAAAACATTTACGATATGTTACATTGATCATCATTACTTTTGCCTTTCTCATCGACTTGATACGTAGCCCTGCTGCATGCAATTCCTTTCCAGCGTCCTCTTAGTTTTCTGCGAGCACCACCAAAGTCGAACACCAGCTCGTAAGGGATTTCCATCTCGGCTTCGTACACCATCCCTGTGGCAACGTAAGTGGAATGTGCGGGAACTGACAGCGGGAAGTCAACCGACTTCGTGGTACCAGTACTTGTAGACTGTTCAAAAGTATGGCTGNAATATTTCTTATGATATAAAGCCAAGTAGCTATTTAACTTTCTTTACAGTTCACACCCTCATAAACACGAACGAAGTCCCAGCGGAAGTCGCCTTTAGACCCAAGGATCGCAAAAGCCAACCCTTAACTACGGCGGCCGTAGCACGAAGAGACAAAACAGAAAACTGGGCCATGACTGGGTAAGATCGAGATGGCTAAAGCAAAGACAAAATGTTTCCTTAAGATTCATTGACTACGTTACAACTACAGAAACATTTACGATATGTTACATTGATCATCATTACTTTTACCTTTCTCATCGACTTGATACGTAGCCTTGCTGCATGCAATTCCTTTCCAGTGTCCTCTTAGTTTTCTGTGAGCACCACCAAAGTCGAACACCAGCTCGTAAGGGATTTCCATCTCGGCTTCATACACCATCCCTGTGGCAACATAAGTGGAATGTGCAGGCACCGACAGCGGAAATTCAACCGACTTGGTGGTACCAGTACTTGTACACTGTTCAAAAGTGTGCTCGTGAGAGAAACTAAAAGAAAGCTCGAGGTTAATCTCGCTAAATCCGGAGAAGCCCGGCGTAAAGCTCCAGTTGATGCCATAGCTGAAACCGATAGTATGTGAAGTAGAATGGGTTCTTCCTTCAGTCATGGAGAAGCTAAACGTCATGGCTTGATCTACATCAGTGTTGTTTATCAGGTCTTTTTCAGATACTACTTTTGGCGTCTGCGACAGGATTTTGGCCTCGTCCATGAAGAAATTCATAGCGACCAGATTGATTTCTTTACGTATTTTGTCAAAATACGACTCCAAATTTGCTTTATCGCGCTTAACATCGTCATGACGTCCAACGACGGTGTGTGTAGCGAGCAGTGCCGCATGTTGGCCAAGTTCTAACAAATATGTCGCTAACGTTGCTGTTATTTCTCCTCTATTGATGAGGTCTTGGCACTTCTCTTGAAAGATGTTTTTGCAAATTGCAGCAAACGCTTTGTAATAGTTGCGCTTAGTCAGCCGCCAACATCTTTTACTCTTGGTTTTGCTTGCTTCGTACGAAGCGACATTCTTAATCATCGACCTAATATCTTCGCATGACCTGACTGACAACAATCCCTTGCATTTCTCTGTAAATGAGTGGAAGTTTTTCGTCGCTTCAATCCTGTCGGCATCTGCCTCTCCACGATCGCCGAGGCCTTTTTTAGAACTGTACCAGGCTGCCTTTTCAGCGTACCCTTTTAATTCCTCTGCGACATCGAAAGGAAGTATTTCGAGTGGCTCGCCAAATGTGGCATTATCTACGTTATCTATTTGTGGTCTCTGCGACGGAACTCCAGTCTCAGTGATTTCTCCATGTATGTTGTCATAATGTAAATCCAAGTTTTCTTTCTGGTGTCTCGCTCCTTCCTGGTGACCAAATATTGTATTGGCAGCATACCTAGCAGCACCCCAGCCCATATCCCTTACGTTTCTCGCCAAAGTTTCCGATATCTCTTTTTCCTTGACGACATTGTGGTAATGCTGTTCCAGTATCTCTTTGTTGATTCTAGCGTCGTTCTCGTAGCCTTTTCGATTGCTACGCCGCCAGCAAGTCTCGCTTTTCTTGGTGTTTGCCGCATGCCAACCGGCATACTCAAGCATCTTCTCGATTTCTAGGCAAGATTTGTCTGATAACCAGTCCTTGCATTTCTCATTGAAAGAGGCAATGCGACTGCGTGCTTCACTCCCGTCGGCATCTGCGTCTTTAATCTGTTTCCACTGGCGCATTTTCGCGCAGTATAAGCTATGCTTTTCAGCGTACATTTTCAGTTCGACTGCTACATCGGTTGGGAATATTTTCAGTGCGACATTAACGCTTGGGGTAGACATCATTAGGATTAGAAATACCTCAAGTTGACTTAGTGTTGACGCTAACCTTGTTTGGATGGAAGTAGCGTGATGTTTGCGGCTTGTTTAAGTAATAACAATGAGCTCTTCAGTTAAATGCTAATTTCTATGCATTCTTAACATCCAATCCAGCTTATCGCTTTTGTTACATGGAAACACTTCAAACGTAGCCTGAAGCCACTTGCATTACCGAACACCTCTAGCGTAAAGTTGTTAGTGCCTGTTTGTATTAACTTTTGTAAAGCAGGAAAAACCTGACAAACGCAAGTTCTCTCTTAGTCTTCTCTTCTTCATTGCATCTTATATTAAGTTCTAATTTGCACTATGTAGCCTATTTACAGCCAACCGGTCTTACTCAGGAAAAGTTGGATGG